TGACTCGCCTGTCGCTTCATAGTTCTTCCGGTGCTAAGCTGACTTCATCGTGAGATGGTCGCGCGCAGCTTGTCAAGAAACATGACCGCCCGGTATTCATCCCGAAGAGTTATTTTAGTGCCCACGTGAACTATACCGAGCGAGTAGAATGCAGTTCACATCCGTGTACCATATTTCACACAGACAGAAGTCCCCGAGTCTTGATAGCTAGTAACTTAGCTGAAATTGAAGCTCGGCACTTCTCCACGTTGCTGGAGTACAATTTTGCTTGGTTTGTGGACTATATTACGGCGCTCAGAATCTCGGACTATATAGCATCAGACGGTAGGGTTAGTGAGAAATGAATGGGAGAAGATTTGGAAGGAAAGGGTCGTAGCCTAATTGAGGTACTACCCCGGAATTTCAGCGTGGACTGAGTAAAACTACGAAACCAATCAGACTAGCCGATGTACCGGCCGAATTCGAATTCAGCACCTTCCGAATACAAGTCTAGATCGTTACCGCTACACTAACCTGCGCAATGGCTTGCTCGGTGTTCCAGGTTAGAAAGAAGGCAGACTAATAGCTTACGTTTTCCGAAGATAAGTTCTTCAGATATTGTCTTTGGCTAGTTGAGGCTGGAATTGGCGACATACGGGTTGTGGTCACCACAGTAAAGGTCCTCGTCCTTTATTTAAAGTGAAATATTCTTCCAACTTCGTATTACATTTGATATTTTAGGCCAATACTACCATAATCAAACCAAAACATGAATCCTTCCAGTATTCAAGATTCATGTTTAAAAAGTTGTTCATATTTCGCATATTTCATTCTTTTTCAGTTTAAAGGGCTGTCCTGTAAACCAAGCAATTTTAGGCAAAGGGGTAGGAAAATGATAAATGACGCGAAGTGAAGTTGGGGTGGAAATAATTAAAAAGAAAAAAAAATTGCAGTGAGGTGAAGTGAAGTGAATGACATTACGCATCCATGACTGTTGGTTTCCTTTTGTTTGTGTTTTGGGTGTTGTAATTTTTTTTCTCTCTCTCTCTGTAATTGTTGTTGTATTTGTTTGTATTTCTCTGTAATTGTTGTAGTTGTTAATCGTATTTGGTTTGTATTCATTGTGGTAGGATGTCCTTATTGTTGTGTTTTGTGTATTGTGTTTTGTTTGAACGTGTTGTCACTTAGTGTAATGTGTGTTACTTGTCTGTTGTGTCCTATTGTGTACTACTGCCACCGGGCTAAAACCCAATTGCAGTATAATAAATAATATATATATATATGTAATACATGTAGATGTTAGGGTCTTGTTCCAGTAGGTTAACAGAGACGCATGTGTACTGATGACATGATTCGTATTGTGGCTTCCTGGTTTACAAGAGATAATAGTTCCATGGGTAGATACCAGCGTTTCGGAAGATACAGTCTCCCTGAAGTCCCCTGAAGAACCCACCAGCCCAGAAGACAGTACGAATCTTCGCCGTGAAAATATCGACCTCATGATGACGTAATGTTGACTCGTACCTATCGAGAATTATTGTCTTGCTTGGGAATTCTCCCATCTTGTTTGTGACTCACACCGTGGTATGGTATTCATTACATCGTAACCACTGGGATGAAATTACTTATCTGTTTAATATTCTATTAAAGGTCGGGGTGTAGAGACCGCTCAAGAACTCAAGAGCAGGCCTGAAATGAGGAGGGGAAGAAAGTTTAAGGAGGTATGATTTGAGGTTCTAACAGCGGTGATTATAAATAATTTTCCTGGGGAGTAAAGCGCGGCCGGCGCATAAGGCTGACAACCTTACCGCCCTCTTTGAGCCGATTGTCTAGATAATGTGGGACCCTCAACGTCTCACAACCCTACGGGCCTTCACGGCCTGGTACAGGGATAGCTTTACTTACTTACTTTACTGTATCTTCTGGTATATAACGTCATGCAGCCCGTTGAAAGTCAACTGACGTTTCGGATGAACATGTCGCCTCCATCCACAGGTTCGAACAGTAAGCCAAGCAAGAAACCAGCTTGAAAACAGATGCAAAGCAGAGCTCTGGTTTCTTCCTTGGCATATTCTTCGACCCTGAAAATGGAGACAACCTATTCCTCTGAAGCATCTATTGATTTGTCAATAGGCCTTACGGCCTTATTTCCCAGAAGATATAATTTTGCAATTTTAATGAAGATGTCTATCCATGGCAACGAATGGGATGTGGAAATATCTTTGCTTGTGCTCCTTTATTTACTCCTCTGAAAACATCGGTGTACGAAATCCTGTCTGAAAACACTTTGTGATATATTCAGAAATCGTGAAGTAACCCCCCTCCCCCCAATTTGGGGTTGGCTGACCAGAGCTGCAGTAAGGGTAGTCTGGATCGTAACTGACCTATCGACAGCTGCATTTATTGTGCCATTGAACGTTTCACTGACCATTCTATATCTTGTTTGTACACAGTCTTGCCTTGTAGTTTGCTTGCTGTAGATGTAATACTAAAAGCCACTGTTTCATGCACACTTTTTATGGGGTTTATGGCGCCGTTAGTAGCTAGATATCCAATGGTTGGGTGGTACGTTGATGAATGATGCACTGGAGGGGACTTCGTGGCCTAATCGAGGTACTATCCCGCCACTTTCCTGGATGGACAGACGACAATCACTAAAACCCTCAAGCAGGCAGTGGGTGCCCTAATCTAGATTCGAACCTAGCACCTCCCGAATACGAGGACAGAGCATTACCGCTGCGGCATCTCGGTCGGTTACATCCACACCGCTGTCGTCATAACTGATCTCAGTGATGAGCCATTGCAGCATTGCAAGTGCAGTTCGAAGGTAATGGGAATGTTTAGAAATTGCATATGGCACTTTCCTAATGTGCTAAAAATTGCGTCTGGGCATAGTGTAGAACTTTAATATTATAATGAACTTCGACAAAGTCGGACTGTCTGCTAGTGTAAATTATGAGATGTGTATCACTTAGTTGTGTAATTACGAAAGTAGAGTACCTGCTAATCTCACCATGTAGACCGAAGGATTTGAAATGGAGGCATAATTTGTTATTCCTAGAATACCTTGTAAATGTCCTCCATGAAGTGTTTCTACAGTTACTGTTTATGGAGAAACAGGAATGTCACGCGAGTTGACAGTTACAGTCAGCTTTTGCAGCATAAGAGAATACAAGCTTACTTTTCTTAAAGAATCTCGAAAACCGTTAAGACTTAAAACCAAATTCAACTTGACATAAAATGTGTTACTCGTATTTCTCTTCAGTTTTTGTTCCAAGCTTTTTCCGTTCTGTTTAACGATTTCCGCTGAGATGCGAGTAGGTCTATGTACAAAATGTCCGTTATGTTGTGAGATCTTAACAAAAATTGAAATATGTCGACATATTTAATATAATTCCAAAATGTCAATTTTTATTGAAAACTCTTCATCTGTTCCCAAGTTGTTTCATGCCAACAGACTTTTAACAGGCGCTCTGCACGGATGAGAACATGCCTAAAAGTATGCTAATGAAATCACCGTGCTGTCCATATAGTTTCCCCGTTTCACGTTTCGAAGCAGTCAACCTATTTTCAAATATGTTACTATCATTATATCATCGGAAATTAATTTAATGTTCAACAAGCAGTAAGAGAGCTTGGTAGCTTAGTTATTACAGTGACTAGGCTACAAGCCAGACGTTGCTAGACTCCGAGCGCGAGCCGGAGGTTTTTCTCTCTGCCACGCGTCCAGACCGGTCCAGACCAGCTCGGGGCACCCAGCACGCTATCCAGCAGGTACCGGCGATCTTCCTTGACCGAAGCTGGAGAGGTGTAATGTAAACACTGACCTCCATCTGTAGTGCAGAAGGTTAAGAAAGGCTGCAGGTGTACCTCAAGGAGGCCAATGCTCATAGTGGGTTGTAGTGCGAATCCTTTTTTTTTTCTTGGCACTACAGCCCCAGTGGGCCTAGGCCTACCTCCATGAACTTCTCCATTCACTTCGGTTTTTCTAGATCTTACACATTCGGTAGGACTCCTTGGGCGGTTGATCAGCTCGTCGCAAGGCCTCTACCTGTACACAAACACAGAAAAACGCACACACAAATTAAACATCCGTGCCCTGAGTGGGATTCGAACCCACGATCCCGGCTTCCGAGCGAGCGAAGACAGTGCATGCCTTAGACTGCTCGGCTACCGTGACCGGCATGCGAATCCTTTACCCTTTTAAAATCAGTAATAACAACATAGTGTATGCTCAGACTCTTGAAATGTAATCATTACTAGCTCCACTTGTTATAAGGCCCTATAATGAAGTGTTGTGCGAAGAAGAGTGCTCTCTTCTGGGTTGTAACACCTGTAGTCCGGTGGAAGTTGACCAACGTTTCGGAGGAAGGTACTGTCACCTTCATCAGTGCTCTACTAGCCGCTGTCCATCTGGTTTCTTGCTTGGCTTCCTTTTCAATCGAGAAGGACGCCTGTATTTAATTAATTAGTTCTCAAAAAGATAAACATGATGACGAGAAAGAGGAGGAGGATAACAACAGTAACAATAATGACAATAATAAAAATCTGTAATGATTTTGTCTCCTACCTAACAGATTGTTATAGCAGTAACACTCCAGACTTGTATTTTAAGGTGCTCAGTTTGCATAACAATTGGGGCTTCAGCTATCTAGAAGCTTTTCTTGGCTATACTTGGTCCCTCCAAGCAAATGCTGGGACAGTACCCCACAAAGTTACTTATTTCAGGATCATTTCCAGTTAAGGAGAACCTACCGTTTGATGTTGCACAGTGTGAAATACTGACACCGTTGGTAAATAAACCTTAAAAAATATAATATCTTTATAATTGTTGCAGAAGTTATGACTTGAGGACTGAACTGCGTTGAACTTGATTGTTGCCTTATAAACTTACATTGCATAAATACAACCAACAACAAAAGTAGCGGCACAAGATTTACAGAACAGAGAGTCTGTACAGCAGGAAAATATATTAATGAATATAGACTCGTTTTTCATGTTCGTTTTTTTTATTGTTTCAGTTCTATGCAGCAATCGAGTGAGCCAAATGACCAAGACCTACAATGACATTGAGGCAGTCACAAGGCTACTGGAAGAGGTAAGCAGAACTTAGAATGATGGCTTCAATTGATAGAAAGACAGAGAAGCTCCTTGTGTTGCATCCTGTTGTGTGTTTAGATTACTTCATACAGTCAACACAAGATTCATTTGTTGATATTATGAACTGTTGGGTTACATGTTTAATGACAAAGCAATGGAGCAAGGTCCCTCCAAACAACTTCCATTTGTTCCGCCCTCTTAAACATATCTTTCGGCTGAACATTTTCCCAATGAAACTATACAAAGGGAAGTCACCGCCTGGTTCCGCCCAAAGAATTTTATGCTGCTGGTTTTCAGGGGCTTGTGAAACGATGGGACAAGTGCCTCAATGTACAGGGAGATTATGTTGAGAAATAAAAGCATTTTTCAAATCAGTACTCTTATTTGTTTAAGTTCTGTATCCATTTGTAACTTACTTATTGACTTTGGCCGCGCCATAGCTCAAGCGGTTAGTCGCTGGCTTCCCACCGCGGCGGCCCGGGTTCGATCCCGGGTCTGGTCAAGTGGGATTTGTGGCGGACAAAGTGGCGCTGGGGCAGGTTTTCTCCGAGTACTTCGGTTTCCCCTGCCAATCTTCATTCTACCAATTGCTCCACAATCACCCTCACCTATCATCTGGGGCTGGTACAATAGGCCAGAAGTGGCTGCAGTTCAAGGGACTTAGTCCCACCCCACTAGCAATAAAAAAATACTTATTGACTTACCCTCGTATTTATAGTAGCCAGAGAAATGAAATGTATAGAGTATGGCATGATGTAAAAGGGATATCCTCCACCAACAGTGATGCACTGATACACTTGTCCCATCACTTTACCAGTCCATTGAAACCCATAGCGTAGAAGTCTTTTGACTGTTTTCTCACACAATTCCACACCTCCATATATCTGGAGAATATCTGGACGGAACGGTGATGAAGGGACAGGAGGTTTGAGAAAACTACATAATGAGGAGCTTCATAACTTGTACTCTTCTCCAAGTATAATTAGAATGATCAGGTCAAGGCAGATGAGTTGGGCGGCAAATGTAGCACAAATGGGAAAGAGGAATGCATGTAGAATATTGGTGGGAAATCCAGAAGGGAAGAGACCCCTGTGGAGACCAAGGCGTAGGTAGGTGGATAAGATTAAAATTGGTGTTAGAGAGATAGGGGGCATGCGGTAGCATAGTTGGTTGAAACACTATGCTACAAGCTGGAAGGTTACGGATTCAAGTCCTGATGAGATCATTTGACTTCTTTTCAATTGACCTAATCCTTCCAGCCACACTATGACCCTAGGGTGGACTCAGCCCCTAACAGAAATGAGTACTAGGAATATTCTTGGAATGTTCTTGGGGGTAAAGGGCGGCCAGCGCATAAGGCTGACAACCCTGCCGCTATCTTGTCTAGAAAATATGGGAACCTCAACATCTCACAGCCCTATGGGCCTCCATGGTCTGTTACAGGGATAGCTTTACTTTACTTAGAGAGATAGAATGGGGCGGTATGGACTGCATTGATCTGGCTCAGGATAGGGACCAGTGGAGGGCTCTTGTGAACGCGGTGGGATTCCATAAAATGTCGGGTAATTTTCGTCTAGAAAATGTGGGAACCTCAACATCTCACAGCCCTATGGGCCTCCATGGTCTGTTACAGGGATAGCTTTACTTTACTTAGAGAGATAGAATGGGGCGGTATGGACTGCATTGATCTGGCTCAGGATAGGGACCAGTGGAGGGCTCTTGGGAACACGGTGGGATTCCATAAAATGTCGGGTAATTTTTGAGTGGTTGCATAACTGGCTGCTTTTGAAGAAGGGTGCAGCTCCATGGAGTTAGAGCCCTTGCTTAATGTTCCAGTTAACATTGTTATAACATGGATACTACTTCCATACTGAGGCTGCACACAGCATCGTGTGAAGTCTTTTATTAAATTGTTGTTCATCCCAGAATTTAAGAAAATGACCAAAGAGGAGGGTAACTCACCCAAAGAAGTGTCTAATATTGACAGTGCCAGGCCATTATTCACCACTCACTTGCTTCTCCTTCGGTCATCGGTGAATAGAATATATCATACTAAATGTTAAATACACATTATTGTAGTTTATAACTACATGTATTTATAGCCAAGAATATACATGTATATATAGTTGTGTTTGTATTTCCTGTATCATAATGCATACTATGAGGTAAAGATAGGATGAGGAAGGTATACGTCTTCTTAAGTTTCTTGTGGTAAAAATAGATCTGCTTAACATTTTTTTGTATAATGTTACAGTTTACAATGACTTAGTGTATATGATTGTAATTTAATCGTCTATTTCGTTGCCACAAAATGAAGAATTCTTTTCATGCAGTTGATCTCCATATTTTAATATATATTTATAATGTTGTTTTCACATTCCTTTGAGATTAAAATGTTGATAGTTTTAAAAAACATAATGTTATCAGTTAATCAGATAACACTATCAATGGATTGCAAGTGTTGAAACAAGTAACTCCATGGAACAGAGTTCTACTTGAGGTGCTAATATTCATTCAGCTAGTCAATAAATCCATCTTCTATGGTACCAGATCTTCATTACACTGTTCACAAGAGCCAATCTTTGTATCCTGAGCCAGATAAATCCAGTCTACATGAACCCTGTAAGTGCACGCGGTAGCGCAGTTGGTTGAGGCACTATACTATAAGCTGGAAGGTTGCGGATTCAAGTCCCGAAGAGGTCGTTGGATTTTTTCAATTGACCTGATCCGTCCAGCCGCACTATGGCCCTGGGGTCAACTCAGCCTCTAACAGAAATGAGTACCAGGAATTAATTAAATAATTTTCCTGGGGAGATAAGCACAGCCGGCGCGTAAGGCTGACAACCTTACCGCCATCTTTGAGCCGGATAATGTGGGACCCTCAACGTCTCACAACCCTATGGGCCTTCACGGCCTGTTACAAGGATAGCTTTACTTTTTTTACTTTACTTTTTTGCATGCACCATGTTTGTATAGGATGCTTTTTAGTATTATCCCCACCTCTGTCTGGGTCTTCCAAGTGGGCTTCACGTTTTCCGAGTAAAACGTTTCATGCAGTTTTCATCTTGCCCATATGTGCTACATGTCCCTCCCATTTTTTATTTGATTATGCCAGTATTTGGTGAATAGAACAATTCATGGAACTCCTCATTGTGCAGTGTTTTGCTCTGTATGCTACACTCAACCTTTTCAGTCTATGTTCTTCCCTTTATGTGAGAGTTCAAGTTTCATATGCATGTAGAAGAAGGTTTTGTGTATTTTAATGACACAATTTTAGAAGACTATGAAAGAAAAAAGATTTTGAACTGAAAGGTACCAACCATTCCATGAATATCATCTGCTGTTAATTCTTTTCATTAGCAGTTTGTTTAAAACTTGAAATTTTATTCATCCCTTGTAGTAGATCATATTTCACAAAAATATAAAAAATTAGCAAAATTATTGTTTATGTATATCTTAATTTTTCTCTTATGAAAAGAAAATTGGATGAAAACAGATTTTGATTTAAATAATAAAAGTTTTTTGTCTTTGTGTGCGTGTGTGTGTGTGTGTGTGTGTGTAACATTTAATTTCCATATCTCTAGAATTATTAAATTTCAAAGCCTATAACATTTCTTTTGTGGTAATGGAAGGTGTACGTGTGAAATTATATCTAGGATTGCCATGGCAAAAGCTGCGTTTATCAAGAAGAAGAATCTTTTTACCAGCAAATTGGACATAAATTTGAGAAAGAAAATAGTGAAATGCTACATTTGGATCATTGCTTTATATGGAGCTGAAACTTGGACACTTAGGGCAGTAGATCAGAAACACCTGGAAAAATTTGAAATGTGGTGTTGGAGAAGGATGGAGAAGATCAGTTGGAACGAATATGTGAGAAATGAAGAAGTGTTATTTAGAGTCAGTGAGCAGAGGAATATCCTACACGAAATAAAAAAATGGAAAGCTAATTGGATTGCTCATATATTACGTAGTAACTGCCTTCTAAAAGAAGTTATTGAAGGAAAGATAGAGGGGCGGATAGAAGTGACCAGAAGACGAGGAAGAAGACGTAAGAAGATACTGGATGACCTTGGGGAAGGAAGAGGATATTTTCATTTGAAGGAGAAAGCTCTAGATCGCATCAAGTGGAGGAACTGTTTTGGAAGAGACTGTGAACCCTGTCACCTTGACAGATTACAGATGAATGAATGAATGAATGCATGCATATGTACACCTTTTTTCTTTTTTTCCAATCGCTCTTCCAGCCCATTCAGGGCCCTGGCCTCTTATTCAGTTCCGTAATCTTTTTCGCAGATAGTAGGACTCCTTGCATGAGTGATCAGCTTGTTGCAAGTCCTTTACCTAAACAAAGGACAACACAGAATAAATGCATACACGCACTAAACATCCATGCCTTAAATGGGATTTGAACCTGTGATCCCAGTGTTCAAGTGAGCGAAGACAGTTCATGCCTTAGATCACACAGCTACTGTGACCGGCCACCTTCTCTTATGGTCAAAGAAATTACAGTAGACCCTTGCTAATCCAGAGTAACTGGGGTGAAAGGTAGTCCAGTTTAAGCGATATTTCAGATTAGTGAAGCAAAAGGTAACCCTAAAAGACAGAAAACTTAGAACATGAACGGAAAATTGAATGATATAAGTAGTGCTGATGAAAATAAATAAAAAATCACTATAGACCCTTTATTGAAAACGTCAATATACTTCTTCATCAATGGAAGACCCAAAAGTTGTACTTGTTTTTGAGCATAATTTATGGAGGAACATAGACTTGAGTGTATTTGAGAAAAGGGTGCTGATGAGAATATCTGAACCAAAGAGGAGTAGATAATTAGAGGCTGGAGAAAACTGCATGATGAGTAGCTTCATAACTTGTACATTCCCCCCCCCCCTGGCACTACAGCCCCAGTGGGCCTAGGCCTACCTCCATGAACTTTTCAGTTCACTTCCGTTTTTCTAGATCTTACACATTCGGTAGGACTCCTTGGGCGGGTGATCAGCTCGTCGCAAGGCCTCTACTGTACACAAACACAGAAAAACGCCCACACACAAACTAAACATCCATGCCCTGAATGGGATTCGAACCCACAATCCCGGTTCCCAAGCGAGCAAAGACAGTACATGCCTTAGACCGCTCGGCTACCGTGACCGTCAACTTGTACCCTTATCAAATATTATTAGAATGGTGAAGTCAAGAAGGATGAGATGGGTGGGGCGTGTAGCATGCATGGGAGAGGAATTTTGGTAGGGAGACCCTAACAAAAAAGATCACTAGGAATTCCTAAACAGAGTTGGGGCGATAATATTAAAATTGAACTTAGAGAAATAGGATGGGGTGGTATGGACTGAATTCATCTGGCCCAGGATAGATGCCAGTGGAGACTGCTGTGAACATGGTAATGAACCTTCAGGTTCCATAAAATGTTGTAAAATTCTTGAATGCGTGTCTGTGACTTTTGGCTTCCCAAGAAGGTCTCAGCTCCATGGAGTTAGTAAATTAGTTAATTAGTGGAAAACTTCCGAAGAAAGTTCTCGGATGTTAATTCGTTACTGCTGTCACATCATAAAATTTATTTAATATAGAATGTTATCAGTGTGAGAACATATGGCTTTCTTAAATTAGTAATTGAATCATTAATGATATCTTACAGTTAATATTATGATCATCTGGGAACAGATGCCTGGTAGGTAGGTGCCAGCATAGGAGGAACATACTTACATCTTTCTGTTTTACCTTGAAGTTGTAGGCAGCAGATTCCTCCAAAATGTTTCTACCTCTTTACCAGACAACATACCATCAAATTCCTGAAGACTGTAGTCACACTATTCACTGCTGTGACCTCAGATCTCATAATTTCTTAGAGAATAGTTTTGCATTTTACAGAAAGAGAAAGACCTAGAGTTAACGGCTCGGATTGGAAAGGAGTTGCTGACTCACAATCAGAAGTTGGACTCCAATGTTGCAGCTCTTGAAGCAGAACTGAAACAAGCCAATGAGAAGCTCACACAACTGAACCATGAACTGGCGAAAAAGACGGAGCTTATTCAGATCCTCACAAATGACGTGGATGAGTCTGGCTCAGAGTCAGGTATCTTTGTATTCATATTGCAACTCAAGTTCAGTTCATGTGCATACTTTTTCCCCTGGTCTTTTTAGATAAATTGCCCCTTACTGGTTCTGACAGTTCTCCTGCATTAGTTCCCAGTATTTAAGAGATTTGAATGGATTGCAGCTTTCCCTCTCTAAGCTGAACAAAGCTTTAGTTTGGTAAATTTCTTATTGATGATAGTTTAAGTGACAATATGCCTGCACTTGCAGTTTTTAGATATTCAGTGTGCATCGATAAGTAAATACATTCTTTAGTCAAACACACAGAAGATCATGATGCTGCAATTTGCTAGAGGCAGGATGATGTAATAGCACAATTTGAGCTTGAACCTAGGCAGCATGTGCCTCAAAATGTTTCAGAGATGTGATACGGCTGTTTGGACAGATCATCCTCACTTCTCAGAGATAATGTTAGTTGACAGTGGGTTACTTGTCTATCTGCAACTTAATTATAAACCTTATACAGAAATCTGCATGTGGATCTTTGTGGCAGATTGTTTGCATTTGTGTGGTTGATCCTGAGGATACAGATCACATTTAATCCTTTTCAAGATTGTATGAGTTACATTAATGTAAATTTTAATTTGTACTTAAATTTTTAGTGCAGTGAAACTGGATTTAACCTCTGATGCTGCTTAATTTTTTCTGCTCAAAGTTCAAGTTTAAAATTAACTACTCTACTGTGTATTGAAGTATACTAGCTAAGAATGTAATAAGTATATAGCAGAAAGGGAGCATATGGAGACATGTTCTTATTAGATTATGTTAAGAGGCAGTTCAGGGTTTATTGTTATTATTAAACAGTTCTAAGTTTTGTATTGTCCATTTAAATGCAAATATACTATACTATAGGACATAACTGATACCTAATGGAAGAAGAAAAACTGCTGTATACAAGTGTCTTTATCACACCATGTTAAAAGCAACTTTATTCTCAAAATAATGCAGTGAAATCCTTTTTTAAAGTTTGTGACCCTATTATGATAGGCATGCAATATATTCTGTATGATTAAATTGTAATTATGTTTGATTATGTGCCTGACACATTTTCACATTCAGGCACTCCTACAAGCCTCCGCTGTATCAACTTGGAATTCATGCAGCGTCGAATTTGGTCCTTGGAGGAGGAAAACAAGCAGCTACGCTCTGAAGCAAGCCAGCTTGCACATGATACGGAGGACTGTGAGATGGCAGAACAGAGATTGGTCCAAGACATAGCATCACAACTTGGTAAGCTTCTGATATTCCTTCTCATTTTTAAAACAGACAGTAAACCTTCTGTATTTTAATTTTATTTTCTTATGTAGTTAATAGTGCTTCCCGAATTGGCTGAAAACCCTGAATGAGACTAATTGGAAGATGTAGGAGTAGATGGGGGGATAATATTAAAATATGTCTTAAAGGAATAGGATGGGAGTTTGTCCAATGGCTATGTTCAATGCAGGAAATCTGTTGACTAGCTGAGCAGCTGTTAGCTTTTCAAGAAGAACGGTGGTCCATGTAGTTGGCTGGTTGGTCAGTCAGTTTCACATTTTTGACTGCCTAGGTTACTGTGTATAGTGTTGATTGGGAGGATGATTGTGAAAGTGGAGGAATTTGGATAGAAGGAGTCATGGTCTATTGCACTGTACTATTCCAGCATTTGTCCTGAGGGTCTGAAGAATACCATGAAATATCTCATGTTGTATGGCAACCAGACTGAGAGTAAAACCTGATACCCCAGATACAAAACAGAAATGCTTAACCACTCAACCATGACATTTGGTTCTCTCTTAATGAATTTTTTTTTTATAATCCTGTACTGTAAATTCCCCCTATATTATAATGTCTAAGAGAGTAAGTTTTTTTAATTTCCTTTTATATAGGTCTTATTGTACTTGTATGCAGCAAAGTGGGCTGTGTTTGTTTTGTAGACTTGTTTAAGTAAATATTAACAGTTAGTTGTGTTGGGTCGTGGATGTGGCGCAGTTTTGAGCGACAATACAATTTGTGCTGTTTCCACACACATTACTTATTTTGTTACCTTCTGCATATGACACTTAGGAGTCTATTCTCATTTAGTTGCTTCCATGTGTATGGACAGGGAACAGCATGTTACAAATTAACCCACTAAAGCACAGTGGTAACTGCTTGAACTATCTTCTTAAACATTCAGAAACTCTGCCTTTTGTCCACAGAATGTATTCATGTGTTTCATATGATTCTCAAACTATGATTACTTTTACAAACAGCATTAATAGATTGGTGTTTGTAATGCAGATGCAGCATATTTCATGTTGGATAAGGACTGAATCTTGGTAATTATTTTTATAATCTTCCTTTTTAAGATTTATCACCACACAGAATGTGGTTAGTTGCTGGCTTCCGACCGTGGCGGCTCGGGTTCGATCCCGGGTTTGATCAAGTGGGATTTGTGGTGGACAAAGTGGCGCTGGGGCAGGTTTTCTCCAAGTACTTCAGTTTCCCCTGCCAATCTTCATTCCACCAGTTGCTCTATAATCACCCTCACCTATCATCTGGGGCTGGTACAATAGGCCAGAAGTGGCCGCAGTACAAGGGACTTAGTCCCACCCCACTAGCAATAAACAAAATAGTACATGATGACAGAGTAGGAAGTGGCTGTTAGCTTTCTATTATTCTTGATAAGGAACAAATATATGCAAAGGTCAGATGACTTCCAATGATGTCATAAACATAAACATGTCTTGGAAATCCAAGGACTAGACACATGGGTGAGGACATGTATGTACACACACATTTTATTATAAAATGAGGAAAATAGCTTAGAAGTGATACCTTAAAGTTCTCTGTGTGACTGAAAATACCTTTTACTTTATTTATTTATGTTGTAGCTAATGCCAACATGGAGGTTGATGGCTTAGCAGATGAATTGCAACGTCAGAAGGAGGAGAGTCGTCAGCAGCATGAAGAAATTGCCATTCTGACAAGTAAATTACTTCATGCAGAATCGCAAATTAATAAGGTTTGTAATTTTATGTAACAAAATGGGACATTTATTGTATTTTATTTCTGAGTTTAAGTGTCTTGTGTACGTCTCTTAACATCATCTCCAAGTTATGTGGGTCAATGAACAAACAGTCTTCAATTCCTCTTTCCTCTTACAGTTATTCATTTTTAGTTTCTTGTCAGCTCTTTCCTCTCCATAAATTCTATCCAGAAGCATCAACACACCTATATAGGGTTTGACATGTTTTATTTAATCCACTGCGTTTTTCAACCCTACTACTGAATGATCCTCAGGTGATATGATGCTTAGTTAATTAGTTATCATGCTATATATCTTATTAGACATTGGTCCCTTGTTACATTTGATCTATTATCCAGTTGGATAACTATCATATAGTAAAATAGTAAAATGTATAAATAAAAGTGTAAATATAAAACAATAAAACATGAAAGTATATATATAGTCTGTATGCATGTGTATAAATTAGTGATTTCTTAGTGAATTATGAACTTCTGTCATTATGTCTACGTAGTTATTACTTAAATGCGTGAAGTTACTTAGTTGAAGTACTGATATAAAAAGTAGCTTGGAAGAACTGTAATATCAATTAAGTAGCAGCAGCATGACCGGCATGGTGGTGCTGACTTCATTGGAGTCTGTGTCAGTTTGTTATATTTGAGTATTGGCTTTTTGGGATTGCCCCAGGTGTTTGTAAATGAAGAGTACTTGCAAATTTCCTTTCCATTATGGTTGATATTGTGGTATTATGTGATTGTATATGATAATTTTCTATATTGTGCTGTAGTTACTTGATGTTATGACTGTGGTTATATGTTGTGGTGTCATTTAATTGATGTTACATACTACATAAGTTGCCTCTCTTCTTTATGTCTTCCAATACATGGCTTGACCATCTTGTTATGGGCCTTCATATAGGTCTCTTTCCATTAAATTTTAATTCTAGTGTCCTGCTCAGTATCATTTTTCCATTCGTTCTCTTTACAATGTAGGTAATACAGAGCTTATGATAAAGTAACAGATTGTGAAACTAAATGGTAATTTTGACATTTCTTTCTCAAAGAAGGGAAAGAAATGAAGTGTTAATGGTTCAGAGGCCTAGATGACTACTTTGTACTGTTCATTGCAGTTAACAGCAGAGAATGATGAACTGTCATCAAACCTCCACATCACGCGAGATAATCAGAGACAGTTAGCTGGTGAATTGGCAGACCTGAAAGATCGGTATGCTGAAGTATTGAGCTTGCTTCGAGATACACAAGAACAGTTGCGTAGGCAACGAAGGAAGGGGATGCCTCAAGCTCGTGGTGGACTCTTCTCTTCATTAGGAACTACTGCACATCCTGATTCTATAGCATCAGAACTGGAAAGTTCTCTATATTCAGAACTAAGTCTAGATTCTGGAATTGGTGTTGACTGTAGGGAAAGGATGTAAGTATACTTTGTTTCATCATTTAAACCTGATATGGTCCTGATATTTCTTTTTGCAGGCAAACTAGAGCAGTAATATTATAAGTGTGTGGGATACTGGTACTGTTAGTCCCTTGGAACTCTAGCCATGGTAGAAGGGTTATACCATCTCTTGCGGGCTGGGGGAGCAGTCTTATCAGCTTATGTTAGCGTGGGTACTGCCAGTTTGGAATGTAGCATCTTGGAGTGTTGTCAGGTGTATAGTATGTTGTGTTGTTTGTTAGTTGGTACCAGTCATAGCGATTGTATTACGTGGTGTTTGTGTCACTATCATGGCACACCAACAATCGCATGGAACTGTATCAATTCCGCGGTATCTACTCCTGGTCTCCGTAGGCAATGTTCTCCGCTCGGGGAGTAGCTCTGAACATCACCACAGCAAGCGTACAGCGTTGCGTGCTCCACAACAGCGTTTACCTTCCACGCAGCTAAAGTTATAAGGCACTAACTATAGGTAAAGAGACCATCATCATCAGCTATTGTGCATTTTACCGATTTAAATTATGCTAACAGGAGGTAGACAAATATCTTTATTTGGAATAGGAGGTAGAAGACAACCATGTGAGTTGAGGGGTTGTGACAGCAGTGAATATTGAGATTGTAGTATTCTTGGATGTGGTACTATGTAGTTTGAAGATGGAGCTGGAGGCAGCAGGTTCCCAGAAAACACTGTTACCCAATGTACAAAACTGTGCTGTGTCACATTCCAGAAGATTATAATCCCAACAGAACACTGTATTTAATAAGGAATTAAGGCTCACACATGTACAGAACCGTGGCTGCTACGACAGTACCACACAACTCAGCGTTAGCATCTATTTCTTCTTGCTTGCCTACTTGGCTTTGAAGAAAGTCTGTAACTTGATAGATCCATGACCTTCGAGATTAAGTTAAACATGGTAGCTTGGTTAATTATCAACTGAGAAACTGTCAAGCATAACAATACCATTTCAGGTGCCTGTGTCCATAGTATGTTTTTTGTAATAAACGTTCTGACAAAATGGCAGTGAGTTGTCAGTAGCAGAACTAGGAGACTATATCTGTATCTTTTGCAGTACTTACATGAACACACCAAAAGACTGTGGTTATCTTGTACCAGGTCAAACTACAAAAAGGTGTTTGAAACAGTTCGTTGTGCATCTCGAGGATCGTCAAGCAGTGCTGGGAGCAGTCCCATCCACCAGATGTATCCTACCCATTCAATACATCTTCCAACTGGGGGTGGTGGCACAATGATGCAAACCACTGCCACACTTTCATCAAGCGGACCTCGCATGAGTGCGTTTGTGCCAATATCCTCAGGAGGACCCAGTATGGGGGGACCTCAACCTTTGCGGCCAACCAATAGGATGGGAGGCAGTTCTGTATACAGCAGCTCGCTGAGTTTCCCCAGCATGGACTCCCAGCATAGCGACTCTGAATTTTCGGTTGTTACAGACACAAGTGATGAGTGCTATCCGTGAGTATGATTTCATTTGGTACATTTTATAGTTACATTCATGGCTCTAAAATAATCTTTACATGCATGGTATACATACACATTGAGCAGGTTAGAGCAATGGTACATAACTGACTTATATTCAGGAGGTAGTATTTGACCGATTGGCACCGCAGCTCACTGTGAGCCTAGGCATTCTAGCTGAGGCATAACTCCAGTCTTTTTAATTGTCAGAACTAGATGAAGGTGACTGGTTAGCTTTAATCCCTGGCTGCTTTACTTCTGGAGGAAGAGCCCTTCGTGTCCATAGAGTAGGAGTCTGGGTAGATACCAGAGCCAATCTGAAAATGATGGTGAAAGGAATGTCTCTACCCATGCTGAGAACTGAACTTCAGTTATCTTGTATAGCCTATAATGTAGTCAATATTGACTGAGATACCTAACGTGCTAAAGTGTGTTTGTTAAATTGTAATTGTGAGAGAGAGTGTAACTGAAGTACTAATAAATCCAATCATCCAAACTAGAACCTGTTATTTTCATCACGCGTGACCCCCTACATATGACAATATATAAATTTAGTTTTATTATGAAAATCTTTTTGATCTCTACAGTGAACATCTCTGTCATTTGTTTATAGTCTACCCAATCCACATCATCCCATCCTCTCTCTCTCTAAGATCCATTCTAATATTGTCCACTCACCTACACCTTAATCTTCCCTGTGGTCTCTTTCCTTCTGGCTTTCCCACCAGTATCCTATACGCATTCCTCGTCTCCCCCATTCATGCTACATGACCTGCCCACCTCATCCTCCTTGACTTGATCATTCTAATTATTCCTCTTCCCATATTTCTTGAACTAACCATCTAAAATTGGTATTAGCGTCATGTGACCACTAAACATCAGTGAGATTATCTTCAATCCAGAGAGGCATGTTATATTCATCCATTATGGTTTAATATAATCTTCCTCAAAATATACAAAGAATGAGTGATAATGTGAAGATTTTTAAATCCACACTGAAAAGTTTCCTCACAACAAATGCTTTTTATTCAATGGATGAATATATTTCTGCTAAGCATGTATAACATTTAATAACTATATATAAGTAGGATCAGTGGGGACTGAATTAAGATGAAGAAATATTTGTTGTGGGCTATGGTCATTTTATCTGTGATTGAATGAATCGTTTATTGTGTGATGTATAATTAATATACACAGCATTTCAAGAATTAATATGTCTCCCATCTTTAGGATTATTCTCAACAGTAAGAAATATCAATCATTAGAATGACAGTTGAAGACAGAAGTATAAGCAACACCAAAAATGTTTTAACCCTTATTGTATTGGAATAGGGGATTTTAAATCAAATACCTGTACAGAGCTCAAGGCCATAAATTTATTCTGTATTAATTGTGTTGCTCTTGGAAAAATGTAATACATGATCAATTAAATGTACTTCTACATAATTATAGCATCTTGAATCAACCACTGTCACAAACACTCAGTGGATGTATATGTACCTTACAATTGTAACATACCCTCCTTTACAAGTAAAGCTGTAGGAGTTGTGCTTTTGTTCCACAGAGGAGGAGCACGGGCTGGAGTGCCTGGTGTTCCAGGTGCAGCTGATCTTGAGGCAGCCCTACGTCGTCTAACTCCAGCAGAGGTTCTGGCCCGACGAGCCACATTAAGTTCTGGCCTAGCATATACAGGCTATGATTATCCTGATGGCCCTCAAACTCCACCCAACTACCTCCCATATGGATGTCGTACACCGGACAGCATCATGTCTACAGGCAGCAGTGGACTTAGTGGTTTCAGTGGACATACCACAGGCAGTTGGAAACTTCCAGAAAAATTACAAGTATGTAACCTGTTACCAAGTTCATGCTTCATTTGGTAGCAGTTAGTTTTCATAATTATATTCAAGACTGGAATTAGTAATTGTTCATCAAATTGTCAACATCATATGCCCACTGAGATTAGTGATATATGTATGTGCACAAATTTCTCTAGTACCAATCCCAGTTCATTACATTGCCAAATATAACATTTAAGTTTAATTCCGGTGCCATGTCTGTAATCATTATATATAAATAACACATTTCACACAAAATATATTGGTATGTTTATGATCTGTCTCATACAGAATACATGCATAGCTTACCTGTTATGATGAAAAAATCTGCTTTATATTTTCAGATTGTAAAACCCCTGGAAGGATCACTGACATTGGCCACCTGGTCTCAGCTTGCAACTCCCACACTTGGTGGACTTCTGGATGAGAGGCCAGGAGTAAAGATCCGTGGTGGACGCCAGTTGGAAGACCTGGGTCTGGAACTGTACTCTCTCTCAGATCTAGAAGAAGATGAGGAGTGTGTTAACCCTGGCAAGAGCTTCCAAAGTACAGGTTCTGTGTACACATACACAAACAGTACAGTGCTCCATCCAGATGATAATACCAGTGTCACGCCCAGGTCAGAACTCAAGCAAATAGCCAGTGTACAGAAATCATTTCCAAATGTGCCATGCTATTCATCAGTTAATTAATTCATTCATTCATTGATTCTTTCTTTCAGTGACTCACTCACTCATTCTTTTTCTCATCCTCCTAACTTCTCACTAAGGATAAGGCCAGTTGGACCCATTCCAAGACTAACAACTGGATGGGCCATCATTTCTCTGGTCTTCTAATTTCTCTTTTATTTCTGGACCCATAACGAAAGTTATGTATCTTCTTATCTTCCATCTTTCCAAAGTGATTTATCCCTTGTAATCAGTATTTCTTCATGTCCTTTACACTGATTATTGTTGCTTCCCAGTTTTCTTATTGTATAAATGGGCTCCTCTTGAAGTACCCACAAGTGGTCTTAGGAATTTCATATTACAGTGGAACCCCTGCTTAATGTTTCAGGATTTAAGGTTTTCCCTCATTTATTCTTCAATTTCAGTGATTTCAGGTCAATAATCTATATGTTAAATTTCCTTCTTCTAACATATTCCTCAGTTTGATATTAAAATCAAATGCTCCAAAAAGAATCCTTAAATGGGGGTTTCACTGTATTAGTATACCTTTTGCCTTTAAGTGGGCACACAGTAACCTAGTTGGTTTGAGGCACTATGCTACAAGCTGAAAGGTCACGCCATCGAATCCTGATGAGGTCATTGTTTTTTTTCCTCAATTTACCTAATCCTTCCAGCTGCACTATGGCCCTGGGGTCGACTCAGCCTCTAACAGAAATTAGTACCAGGAATATTCTTTGAATGTTCTTGGGGGTAAAGGGCAGCCAGCACATAAGGCTGACAACCTTACTACCATCTATGAGCCGATTGTCTAGAAAATGTGGGAACCTCAACATCTCACAACCCTATGGGTCTCCACAGCCTGTTACTTACTTACTTTTTTACTTTTACCTTTAAGTAAGATAGGCACCCAATTTAATAAGAATTTCAGTGGCTAGTTTCACGTAAATTTGCCAGTATGTCTGAGGAAGTTAGCAGGAGCTACAAAATAATAACTAGCTGCAAGAACTCCATAGATTCAAGCTCTTCTTGAGAAACATCTAGCCACTCAGTTGGTCAAAAAATTCCTGACCTTTTTTGGAACCCAAAAGGTCATCCTCATGATCACAAAAGGATATCATTGGTCACCATCCTGGTTCTTATGAATCCAGTCTATGCCCTTGTATCTTGGCTGTTTTAGTTCCATTTTAATATTATCCTTCCATGTATATGTATGCCTCCCAAGTAATTTCTTGCTTTCAGGCAGGTCTTCTGGCTAAAGTTTGTTATGTATTTTTCATCATTCCTGTATGTATGATACATGCCCCACCAGTCCCATCCTCCCTGATTTTGTCACCCTAATAATGCTATATCTGGTGAAGAGTTCAAATAATGAAACTCCTAATTTTGCAGATTTCTTCAATCTTCGGGTACACTATTCATCTCAGGTCAAAATATTCTCCTCAGCACTTTATTCACAAAACACCCTGAACCTCTCTTCTACCATTAATGTGAAATGCTATGTTATACTCTCAGAAATCTGCAGTACTTATGGCATATTATTTGAAAGTTAAGGCATTCTAGTCATAATGAAAATATTGCTGCATATTACATATGACTACTTTTTCTTATGCAGTCTTCGCGGGAGTCAGATGTGCACAGTGGCAAGCTCAAGACAACCAACAGCCCCTCAAACACCTGTTACCCTGAGTCGACGTGGCTCAACCACAACTTTCTCAACCACATTAGGCCTAGCCAAGATGCTCAATGAGCGAGGTATCAAGGCTGTTACTCCATCAGCAGTGGCTACTCCTTGCGGTGATAGGAGTTTCACCCCCACTGCCACCCCATGCAACAGCCCAGATGGTACCCCGCCACCTTCACCACCACCGTCACCACCTCCATATAACCCTCTGAAATTCCCAGGTATGGATTTTCATAAACTGCATATTTTTGTTAATGGAAAATTATGAGTATTTTGAAGTTCCGTGCTAAAGTTAAAACATTTCTTACACTCAGACTGTTATGTTTGATTGGCAGGTTTCTTGACCAGTGGTGCAGATCTTCTACGACGAAAACTCACAGGAGATGATGAACGCCAAGCCATGAAAACACATGGCAAGAATAAGCGCAGTAAAATGGCTTTATCTCGTTCTGAAAGAAAGGTGAAGTTGCATATACAAAGTCTGGTTTATAGTTTTTTATTACACATACGAATATGCTGTATTTTCCCAAATAAAACAACCTCTTTTTTTTCTTTATAAAAAGATAGATAGGCTACGAAAATTTAATTTCACAGCTTATTTGTGATGCAATTGGCAGCCTTACTTATTCCAAACACCATCTTAACTTTCACAACTTCTTACCACATACTGAAACAGAGCAAATGGATATTATTGTCCGAGACATGTATATAATTGCTAATTAGAATTTGCCTACCAGCTGCAATCTATACAGATGATGAGTGGAGAACCACTGAGATACAACACCAGGTCAGTTCTAGATTCTCATATACATAGATGATAACTATGAAATTCATGCAGATTAATGTTGTCACCATCACCAAATCACATGTATCATTAATTCAGTTCTAAAATGTATTTCTTATAATAGGTTATAGATTTTGTCAATTTTGCAGAAATTAATATTTCTCCCATCCTGTAAGTTCACTGCAGTGAAGGAAAATCTAGCAAGAAGAGGACTATAAGACTAACATGGAGTAAATTTATTAAGAAGGAATCATGCAGATTTTATTTTGGTAATGTGAGAGATAACTCCACTGCAGGAGAGAGGCAACAGAGGAAATAATAAATCCAGAAAATAAGCACTCTTGTCATTGAAGTTGGAAAATTTTGTGCTCTGATGTGCAAATCTGTGGGTTTGACTCCTTTCATGTCTTATTTGAGTTGTTATGCTTCCCCCTCCATCTGTCTAGGAATTTTATTCACACAGATACTTGTACAATAACCTTTGCTACTGGCTAGCATTTCAAACCCTCTGATATAAAACAGGAAGATGGAAGGGGCTAGAACAGTAGGCAAAAAGAGGGACACCTCAAGCATTGTCATCTACACCATCCATGGGACTTCTCTCTGTGGCTTCAACATAATGTCCATGTACCCTGACACTGTTACTTGGAATTCTGTTGTATAAAAATGTAAGGTTGTTCCTGTACTTGCCTAATTAAGCACTATGCCATGAAGGTGTATGGGGGAGTGGATGTATAGATCATATTTTGTTGACTTCAGCACTAGCTGGAGGTGAGTGGTCAGCTTCGTGCCCCTGTTGCTTTACTCCCAGTGAAGGAGCCCCCAGTACCCATTGAATAGGAGGTTGGGTGGACCCTAGAGCCAGTCTGGATGATGTGCAGAAGAGAAAATTCTTGACCCTACCAGAACTCTAAATGTTTAAAAGTAAAACAGAATCTAACAAATGAAAATGTACTGACTGTTGCTTTCTCACAGGCCCTCACAGGTATCCGACTGGTGGAGAAACTGGAGAGGATTGGTTTGGATACGATCATGGCAACAACAGCAGCTCCAATGTCAGCTCTCACTCTGCAAGGTGCCCTTTATACACGTCGTACTCTGAAAAGTCCCATGGCGCAGTTAACAAGTTTCAAGAGTGCAATAGCATCACCAGGAATGGTAGCACCTACCACCTCTTCTGTATCCACGACTGTGAAAGCTTCAGAATCTGAAGCCATGAAGATAAGCACTGCATCCCTGAATGTAGAGCAGGGTCTTGGTGTGCCTGGCAGACCTGGCTCTGGGCTGTTGGATCGCCCACCACCTGCACCAGAAAGGAAGCATCAACGGACCAGTGGAATGGTTCGGCCTGACCTCGGAACAGTATTAGGGTCAGTTCCTGCCAAAAGGAGTCGTGATTCAGTGGAAGCCAACCCCAACCCTGGAACCCTAGGGACAATTAGCTCGCTGCTTTTTGGCCGTAAGGGTGGCTTGCTGTGATGTGGTTCTAGAAGTGATCCTCATAGTTGAGATACTTGTCCAGCAGCACATGTAGCTTTATTAGCAGTGAGCCCTGAAGGAATACCAGAGTATGTAAGTAGATTTTTCTTCCTGAAAGTTAAGTGAGAAATTGTAGGCTAGTGGCATATGTCAATATCAATTCCTTTTATACTTCAGATCTTAGGTCCCTGCTTTCTTCATTCAGACTTTCCCATTTTCTTGGAAGAGGAAAGTCACCAAATTGCAAAACTTCAGATATTGTTTATTATGCACACCAATGAAACATATTTTGAATGATTTGACTGGTGTAACATTTCCCTCAACCCCCCATATTCTTCATTGTAAATAGACTAGTGCATTTGCTGCTAAGATGAAGGTGGAAAATCATTTCTTTCTTCCTTTCTTTTATCTCTTATGTGCCCTTATCCCCCTCCTTTCTCCCATCCCTTGTCCATCCTTCATTCCTTTCCCCCTTCCATTCCACCTCCTCTCCATCCTAAAATGATCCCCTCTTTCCTGGTCTTTCATTCCCTTGTCCCTTTTGTACATTTACCTCCTTCCCATTTTTCTCCAGTATTCCTTCTACATCCTTTTTATTTACCAGCCATATCATCATTCCTCTCTCCATATTCTAGCAATGGTGTACTGGATTTTCTTGGAGCAAGACAGAAATAACCTGTTATCCTAGCAACAGTGCATTGGGTCCTCCCCTACTGTGGGATTTGGCAGTTATTTATGTGGAATAAGCAAATTAGAAGGTAAGGTTTTTGACTTCAGGGACATTCATCACTTTTCAAAATAATGTGGTAAACTGTACTACATGTAGTATTTCTGTAGCTCAGATTATTATTTTCTGCATCATGGCATATTAGCACTGTAATGCCATATTATTTACATACATTGCATCCTGACCGACTGATCTAATTGTTTTAGGGAAGAGTTTCTTTTACTAGTTTTTGTGCCACAGTTTTGTTTTGTAAGTACTGTTTGATTATATGCATATGACAGCTTCACTTTGGATGCCATTTTTATGGTGACCATACTCATCAGTTTGTAGGCATGAGATAATTTCACCACAATAATATGTCACTCATCAGGCCTATTCACAATTGAAATGGAAATTTCTCAGTCACGCTTTACTACATGTTAAAATGTTAAATGCCCCCTGTTACACTACATTTAATACCTCCTACTGCATTAGACACTGCAATGGGTTAATAAAGCCAATTGATTTTCTACCTTGAATTGCTGAAAATCATGTGTTGTGCATTGCATATTGAGCTTGCTTCATTTTACTGTGTGTATTGTAAAAGAAAAGTGGTTGAGTGATGGAAGAAATTAATGGAACATCCTGTTCTGTCACTATGCAGTACCCTTATTGGTACAGTTACAATCAAACAGCATGCAGTTATGCAAAAGCTATTCATGTTCTGTGCAGATTGACCTATGCCACTCTCACATTACAATTCCAAAGAAATGTTGCATCATTTTTACTTGCGTATAGTTCACACTTTGCTCATAAACATATCTTAATATGTATGTGTGTGTGTACGCATAATCTTCTATTCTGTATGAACTGCTTAGGTGCTGCATCTAAAAACATTATCAACACCTTTGGCTAGGTGGAGTATGTTTTCTTTTCCCCCTGAAGTATGCAGTTTATCATAAAATAAGCTTACCACCATTTCAGCAAATTTCATTCTATCTATCGCAACAGTTTTGTGTTCTATTTATTATGCCATTTATCTTCAAATATTGTCTCTTAGATTGCATACATTTAATTAAGGATGCCACTTGATATTGATAACTCAGTAAAATATGATGCCTGGGGAAAGTGTACAGCATTGGTATAAATTCAACCTCTTGAGCATGGATGCAGATTCAGCATATTAAGTACTGATGTGGATTCAGCAAATCAGTATCTTACATAATTCATTTTTGTCATAAAATCATTTTTTCCTCAAAATACTGAATAACCAGGCCTGTCCTCTACACAAAATTTGAGTATTATTAGGAAGAAATAAGTAAATCGATAACCATGGTAAATGTGCAATACAAGTAAAATCAGTATTCTGCATCTAACACTGAATTGAATTAAACACTTCGGAAATTTATAAATCCCAGAACCTTAAAATTATTTGATACTGATACAGTCATCTTCAATAATGATGTGGAATTCCGTGTCAGCTGACTACTACAGTTAATCAGATTATTTTTTTTGTATCATTCTCATGGAGAGAAAGCAATTTGTGAGATGTATGCGAGTGAAGACAGTGCTTGCTAATTAGCTTTGAAGAATCGGAGTTAGATAGAGAAAGAGAAGAATATTTTTGGTAGAGGATCACTACAATATAAACCATTAGAGTATAGGTAGCTTCTGTTCCCCTGTAGTGGCATTATGTGGAAATGTAGACAAGTTGCTCAATCCCACCACCAGAGTATCTTGACTTTTGTAGGTTCAAACAGAAGTTAAACTGTGTACTTATAAATTAGTGTATTTTCAAATATAAATAAATTTGTTAGATTAGAGGTTTTCACGGCAGTGACTATGAAGAAAGCAGTCTTTGGGATGTGGCACCGTGCAGATGTGGTGTTAACCGACATTTCAGAGGAACGTCTGTTAACACCACATCTACACGGTGCCACATCCCAGAAGACTGTTTTCTTCATAAATAAATTTATTTGACGTATCGAACATACATAAATGCATCTGCATTAAATTAATGTTGAATTTAGTTATGTCTAAATGACTATAAAATGATTTCACAACACCATCCAATGTGACTCAGTATATATGTATATAATGCTTTTACTTGTTTTGGTCAGTTGTGACCATCTTCAGAAGGCAATAACATGTTAAGGAACTGCTACTACATAGATCATAAGACATAAGCTTAAAGTTATGTATAAAGGTTTTTAATTAAGTTAAAAGGCATTGAAATTAAAAATATATTACTAATGTTCTGAATGTTTAAAATCTTGAACAAATGAGGTTTGTGTCTCTGTGCATCTTCAGTGAAAAAGGGATATTGAGGTGTTATTTGCCCTCCTGTGAGGTCCGAGCAACCTTGTTTCCCCATTTTTTATATGATTGGATAAGGATCTGTGTTGTTGTTAAGTTGTTTCTCCTTTCATTGTGTATTGAGGCCAAAACATGTAAAGGCATTATATAAATGTATACTGAGTCACACTGGATGGCAGTGTCAAATCATTTTATAATAATTAACTACTGTGATGGCCCAGAATGAATAAAGTTAAACTTATATCTGAACATTTCCAATCATACATAAGAATGTAGGTTTTCACAATGTTGAAAATTTATATTGTGGTCTTCCAGGTTCTGACAGGATGTAGTCTTGTAGGTGAGCACCATCATTGCAGGGGAACAGATGCCTGCATCTTAAGCTACCCTGACCACAGTATGAATATCAAATTTTTGGGGGGTAGTAATTGTTTTAGCAATAGAGATATTATTAGTTAAGATTTAAAAATTTGTGATGGTGGTATATTAATACAATTATTGTTTCTGGACAATACCCATCATATTGTTATTTAAAACACACAGTGTTACAGAAACTAGATTCTCTCTCCATCTGCAGGTGAAAGATACTGAGTTGAGCCCAATTGATGGAGTTAGTCCCTATCTCCAGACCTATTATTATAACTGAGGTCGAATGCTAACCTGAGTGTTGCAAGCTACAATGTAATTTTATCTGTATTCCTCAAATGTTGTTGCACATGTTACTAATGTGTAACTTCTAGTAGTGTGGAGCTATACATGTACTGGATGGACAAGTTAGTTTTCACAACTGATCTGACTTGCATGCTTAGTTCATAGTGGTCAGTTATAGTTCCTCTAGCATTGACATTTACATCTCTGAGTCAAAACTATGTGCAATGATGATGACATTAAAATGTATTTGAAATTACATATTGTAACAAGTGTAAATATTTATATATTTTGGTGCAATTTGCATCATGCCTACATTTTAAGCCTCTTGAGTTTAAATATTTGTGAAACTGAAATAGTCACTTCATGGACAGTTTAGTGTTGCACCTGATGTTTGGAGTATTAATGTCTTCAGGAGGTGGAAACTTTCAGTGTGCAAGTTTGATGCTGCTAAGATTAAAGTTAAGAAAATATTAACATCTAAGGCAAGATATTGGGTGCTACATAATAAAAGACTTATCGTTATGTTACCCATTGTCCATGTATAGATATGTAGATAAGTGCCCTGTGATCCTGTGATATTGATGTCAATGTTGGTATCCAGAATTCTGTAATAGTCCTACATTCACTGAAATTAAATTGTAGTCTGTAGACACAATTGCATGGTTCACAGATATACAGAGTGTCCCAGGAGGAATGTGCCAAACTTCGGGAGGGTGTTCCTTATGTTATAGTATGCTGATATAACCCAAAACACCTATGTCCAAAGTTGAATGGTTACAGAGATAATGGCCCGAGAAAAGTGTGGTCTCCTGGCGAGTCCACACACTGTACCTGTCAGCTGGCATGTCTTATCTACGTTTGTCCTTGAGTGTGGTGATGGCAGCTCATGTTAGCCCCATACACTCGCATACCAGAACGCGCAGTCAGTAATGTTACATCAGTGCTTGCCATTCATGTGTCATGTATAGTGCTTGGAACTCTTAATGACAACTTTGACATGGCGTGCGAGTTTTTTGTAGTTCAATTTAAAGGCTTCATGTCACTCACAAGTTAGTTTGATGTTACGTACATTATTAACATTACAGAAACCACATATTCCTGCCAGTTTTAATATGTATTTTGTAATGAACAAGTGTGTAACACCAGTCAAAGTTTCACACTTCTCTGGCTATTATCTCCGTAACCGTTCAACTTTGGACATAGGTGTTTTGGGTTATATCGGCATACTTTAACATAACGAACACCCTCCCAAAATTTGGCACATTCCTCCTGGGGCACCCTGTATAAATCAGAGAAATATGAAATGTGAGGTTTTATGGTAATGAACATAGTATTACACTCTTCTGGAATGTAATGCTGTGTAACCCAGTTTTAGGTTATCAGTATTTCAGGGAAATTTATCAGAGTAGCGAAGCATCATCACAGAAGGTTGTGATCTTAAATCAAAGAAATTCCATGAAGAATTTGAGGCAACAGAATTTAATTGAAGCTGAAAAAATCGGGTAAATTGAAAATATGCTAATTTAACAGCAGAGAAAGGAAGAATCGCTAGGCAATCATGATAGAAGATACTGCTAGATATTTTTTGCCTATTGTGAATGTTTTTGTTTAGAAAGCCTGGAAATAATATTTAGCTATATACTCTTGTCTTCATCGTGTCTTAGGCGCTTACTCTAGTAAGTACTGTAATAAGACTAACAACAGGAAATGCAGTAAAGCATGTAAAAATTCTAAATTTTGTCAGTGTGTCTGTTAAAGGAATGATAGGCTATGCTTTAGCACAGGTGGTTAGTTGCCAGCACAGAAGTTTGGTTTCAGTCCCAGTGTAGTCCATGTGGAGTTTGAGGTGGATAAAGTGACCCTGAGGCAGGTTTTTCTCCAAGCACTTTGGGTTTTTCCTTACCATCATTCCACCAATGCTTCATATTCATCTTTCATCAAGAAGCTGGTACAGTGGGCCCATTCAAGGCCACAGTACCAAGGGATCCGCTCTCACACCACTCATATAAAAAAAATCCGAGGTAATAATTCCATATTTACTGAAAAATATTAAATTTAAGGGAAATTCTATAATATGTCTTTAAGTGATTTATGAAATTCCATTTGATCCACTATAATTGTTCATATAGGTGAGATGTAAAGTACCATGTGATGACTCTTCATTACACAGTCTTGTAGAGTCTTTCTGGGTGGTTAGCAATGGATACTGCAGAATTATCAATTTCATAGTTCCTCCCTCCATTTCATATGTATGAAGTACACTGCAGGATAATAGAAACCGTCATGCACAGATGTGTGAATGCTGTAAGGAAGAGCTGTTGCCAGTCTTTACAATAGTAAGACAAAGCATTCAGCTTTCTCAATGTCCTTCCAGGACAAAGCTAGATAAAACATGGTGACTGATGTACATCACAGACATTGGATACAAAATTGTGGTATATAATACTTGGCCATGTTGAAGATAGGCAGTGATTTGTCACATTGCTACTGAGTACAACAAGAGTTTGTCAGGAGAATCAAGTGGATATGGGGTAATTCAGTATCTGTACCATTCTCCTGAAAATCAGTAAACAACAGAATGGGATCTGAGGTTCTCATGGCAGTTAATATTAAGATATGGGATGTAGGCCTGTGTAGTATTGTAAATAAATAACAGTATCTTGAGGGTTCAGGATTGAAGAAGCCTGAAGTTGGAAGCAGTAGGTTCCCCTGAAACATTGGTACCCATCTGCCAGACTACACAGCATTACGTACCAGAAGATTGTATTCTACTGAACCTCTTCCCAGTCTTTAGTACATGGTTGCTGCACTGGGAAGCGGGTTTTCCTTACTGTATAGTTATTTATTGGTGCCTCATTCACACATCACATTAGGTCCATTGTTCATCAGTTTGATGCTTAATTCCATTAGACATCGAAGTTGAGCCACAGAAACAGTCACATGTATACAGAGATTTTATTTAAATTATATAATTCATATGTTGATAACTTTGTTTGAAGAAAAAATTGTACCAAAACAAGTGTTACTATTAGTAATTAAGAATGTCGGTTGATGACACTGGAAAGCTTGTCAGAAAGCAGCTAGATTGATATTACATACTAATTTTACTATGTTTTGCAAGTTACGTGACACACCTTGGTTAATCATTTGAACAGAGACATTCAGTTTTAACAGAAGCAAATGCATTTCACATACAAGTCATTCACCCTAAGAATGACTGAAAGTAAGTGTATAAATATGCAGGCCAAGTATTATTCTAGTATTGTCTTTGTTTTCCTTTCCATTTCATACATGTTACTTATTCTGAAGATAGAGAATATTCAGCATTCATTCAGCAAGATTAGAATGTGATTACTGCCAAACTTGCTTCTATAATTTCTGCCTTCTTTCCCATAATATTTTAAGAGTAGAGTGTACGGGTCTATAAGTATAAGAAGTGAATTAGTTAGAGTATTGTAATAGGTAAAATAAATATCAATATCCCCTGACTTCCATGATTTCATACATTTTTTTAAAATTTGAACATCTTGGTAGAGACTGTCTCTCTTTCTCTCACACACACACACACACACACATGAAATTTTTTGGATTATTCTTAACATTTGATTCTTGAAAAATTATATTCTGAATTACATTAACTTGGAAAGTGTACCCAGAGAGCAACTCAATCTTGGGCCCAATAATTCCACATATTCTAAATGTAATATGGAAAGAATTAATGCCCACTGTTCCTTCCAACAAGATCTTTCTCATTTACTTCATTACATAGTAACAGTGACCTTATTTTGTCATATGTTTTTATATTTTGTGTAAGAAAATTGGACTTTTGCCACAGTTGAGAGCATTTTCTCAATAGCTTTCATAATGTAAGATTTGAGGCTTTCACGGCAGTGACTG